TTTCCAGGACTTGACTTTAAACGGAGCTGGAGAATATGGTCACTAGTGGTGAAGAGGTGGATTCAACCAGACTAGAATTCGGAGGCATGGGCAATGAAGAGACAGGCCGAGTTTGGACATGCTCCATCAGAACTGCTGACCTAGCATGCACATGAAAAGCAAAAGGGTTGCTAACTTAGAGAATCAGGGAGTCCCGTGGGCACACATCTTGTTGACTTGGCCACAGGTGAGGGCTAAGATTGAGAGAAGGAACAAGTCAGTCTGGAACACAGGAAGCATGGACTCCTGGATTTGTAGCTGACCTAGTTTTGGATGGCTTGCAAGGAATTAAAGATGTTCCATGTTCTGATCTAGTATGGCTGGCTGCACTGTGATAATTTGCTCTTGACTGGACTTTGCTTATCAATGCAGATGCTGAAAGTTTGAACTGTAACAGAAGATTCTTCAGAGAAAGGAGCATGTGCTTGTTTCCTCAGAGTACTGGTTTACTGGTTGGTGTTGTTGTATGTGTCATAGAGTCACCTGTGATTCATGCACTCAGAGTGACCTTAGGCACAACAGCTCTGAACTCTGTCCTATCCTCAGCCAATCTCACAGCCTCTGACACACCTGCCCCTAATAGCCCAGTCACTGTGTCAATCCAGAGTCTTCCTCTTGTCTTCTTCAAGGGCTGGTCCCTCTTGGCAACATGCCCATAGTATGTGAAATGGAGCTTCAGAATCCTTGCTTCCACAGAGCTAGTTGGTTTCACCCTCTCCAGAACAGACCTGCTTGTTCTCTTGGCAGTCCATAGTATGTTCAATGTCCTTCTCCAGCACCACAACTCAAAGGCATCAATAATTCTTCTTATCCTTATTCACTGTCCAACTCTCTGATAATTAGCAAGTAACCATAAGGACCAAGGCCTGGATCAGGCGCACCTTAGTCTCTAGACTGACATCTTTGCACTTCAGCACTCTGGAGAGGTCTGGTATGATAGGGATGGGCAAATCAGAAATTGGGAGAGATTAAAGATGTGAAGAATGAAGTTGCTGATTACACACTTTCATGAATATAGCTATTGCATATTTTAAGGAAAAAGTGCATCTTTCATATATGACTGTTATTGGCTAGAAAAGCTAGAGGGTGTCCCACTGAGTATGTCACTCAATATGGCTTTTCTAGTTTAGATGACTATGTGGAGGGGTGGGACTGTGTGAGATACATCTGTTGGCCTATCCACAAAGGGACTGCCTATCTACCATTCCACAATGGGACTGGCCAGTATCAGCAATAAATAGAACAGCTTTAGCCGCAGAGAAGAGAAATTCCTCTCACGCCAGAAGAGATGGAATTCTTTGTCTAGCCAGAGGAGAGAGAGACTTTCCTCAACCCAGTGAAATTCAGGACACGCTTTGGGATGGCAGAAACAGTGAAGGCTAAACTGGAGAACCGCATGTGAGATGGCATTTTGGGGAGGGAGGAGTCAACATTGGCAAGAATGAGAACTTTGCCAGACAATTTCAGGGGAAGTAGATATTGGCAGGACTGAGAACGTGGGAACACTAAGAGCTGCGAGACTGAAATGCCTGCTTGCACATTTTGGGACCTATCTTGACTGTATTTCGTTATTAATATGAATTATAACCATTTAACTCCCCCATCCTGCAAAAAATTCAATAAAATAGGACTGTAAGATAATTTTGCCAGTCTGATAAAGGGCATTTATGGTAAATACAGACAACATCATACACAATGGTAAAAGAATGAAAGTCTTCCTCTTAAGATTATGAACAAAAACCAAGAAGGCCAACTCTCCTTATTTTTTCCTGGACACTACACCTGATACCCTAACTAATTAGGCAAGAATATAAATAAACATCATCTAGATTGGAAGGAAAAATAAAAATTGTGTCTATTCACAGAGGACATGTACAGAAAACTCTAAAGAATCTAAGGAAAGGGGGGAGGAAGCTAATAGAGTTAATAAATTTAGGAAAGTTGCAGGATACAAGATCAATTTATAAAAATCAATAACATGTCTATACACTAGTAATAAATATCTGAAAATGAAATGGAGAAAATAATTCCATTTATAATAGCTTCAAAAGTAGTGCAGTACATAGTAATAACATATAGTCCTTGTTTACTGAAAATGACAAAGTATTGCTCAATATAATTAAAGAATGGCAACACTCCCTCAAATTATCTACATATTCAATGCAATATTTATCAAATTCTAACAACCTTTTATCTTTTCCCTCCAAAATGGACAAGCTGATCATAAATATAAACACAAGGTACTCAGAATTGGCAAAACAGCTTTGAAATGGAGATCAAAGCATTCACACTTCCCACTTAAAAAATGTATAAAGTTACAGTAGTCAAGACGAGTACACACAAGTGTTTTACTGACATGAGGATAGACAAATATGTCCACGGAGTAGAACGAGAAGTCCAGAAATAAAATCTCACCTTTATTACAAACTGAGTTTTGACAAGGATACCAAGATCTTTCAAGGGAAAAAGAGGTTTTTTTCTTCAACAAATGGTGTGGGGACAACTGAATATCCACAAGCAAAAGACTTCATTTGGACTTGTTACCTTACACTATAAGAGCTCTGGTAACCTGGTGGTAAGGAGTTGCACTGGCAACCCAAAGTACAAAGTCTGAATCCACTAGCTGCTTCTCAGGACAGAGAAGGGTAATCTCCCATGCTATCAAGTGCCTTTGAAAACCCTCTGGAGGGTCAGTGATGGGTCAATTCTGACTCAACATTACATAATAACAACTACCACCTTACACTATATAAAAAAAAATTAATTCAAAAAGACTTAAATGAAAGAAATGAAACCATAAAACTCTTAGGTGAAAATCTGCACAACTTTGGATTCCACGCCAAAGACTAAACGTACTGCTGTCCAGTGAGTTCTGACTCACAGTGACTTTAGTTTCTGAGGCTGTAAATCTTTGGCATTCCTCCTTCTCCCTTGGGGTGGCTAGTGAAAGAAGCTGCCCTGCAGTCCCAGAGGCACACGGTTTGAATCCACCAGCTTCTCGCCGGGAGACTACAGCACACAACCACAACCTTTTGGTTAGCAGACCAATTTGGCAATGGTTCTTTTAGATATAACACCAAAAGCACAATCTAAGAAAAAAAAAAAGATAAATTTGATTTTCCAAAATGAATGTCTATGTCCCAAACGACTATTACTGGTGTTACTATGAAGTGCCCTCAAGTTGGAACCGACTCACAGCTGATCCTCCAGCGGGTTCTCAGCATGTCAGCTGTATGTTAATCACGTGGCAGGACACCACCCATCTTTCTGTGGTTGAGCAGGGGGTACTTTTGAATCAACTGCCCTTGAGCTGACAGCACAGCTCCTTAGGACCGGACAATGTTTAGGCAGGTCTGTTGTCCACAGGTCTGTGGCGATGCACTGGGATTGATTCAATGGCACCTCAGGACAAAAACATATTTGGGTTTGAAAATTACACCAATGAAGGCATTTATATTGAAATTTTTACTAATTCTGTTTTTTTCCAAACATAAATAAGTTTCTTTGAGCTCTAGAAAATGTAAAGGAAGAGGCACATCTCTGAGAGCTCCAGAATCTTCACTGCCGTCATCTATTCAACGTCTAGAAATGAAGTACTGCTTGCTATCGACTGAGTCTTATTTGCACCGTCAGGACATAACAATCGAAGCACTAACTGGAAACTAAAGAATTTAAAGCATTTTCTCTTCCCATTGATCTTGAGAAGCTCTACATGACATTAAATCAATTACCTTGTCAGTAAAGACCAGACACACCTCAGTTCAAACATACTATCAACTAGAAGGGTGGTGGTAAATGGCAATTACATTTACTGGTCAGGTTTATCAGCAGTACACTAAAGACAGGGCAGTGGGAGTGACCTACCCTGTACACAGGCAACAAACATGAGCTCTGGTGGCCCAGAGGGTAAGGAGTTACATTCAAAGGCGCACTGATGGTGTGAATTCACCATCTGCTCCTGGGAAAGATGGACAATCTCCTGTGTGATTTACAGCATCTGAAAACTTACTGATGAGTCTGCTATGAGTAACAGCAATAATTAGTTGTACTGTCACTAAAGAGTTTAATAATAATAATAAAATCAACTAAAAATAAGTTTGTTTTTTACTATCACTTTGAAACAGCAATTATAAACAGTATCAGTAACAAAGTACTCCTGTCTCTCTCACTGTGGCCTGCTCCTACCCCTCCATCCCTGACATACTACTGTTCTGATATGTATACAGATTCTGATAGAAGAGAAAGCAGGGATACAGACAAATAAATACGTCCTTGGGGAGCAAACCCCTAGATACAGCCTAAAACTTAATCATATTGCTATCACTTTAGTCACTGCACAGATGCTTACAGGAAATGGGAAAACATGTCAATAATTCTTTGGTTGAGCATGAATTTTCAGAATGAATTGTCAAAACATTATTCCATTTAGATAACCAAGCTAGCAGCTACTGCTTACCAAGTAAATAAAAAACCTATGAGCACACACTACTTGGTCTTCTATTATTTTGATAATTATCAAGTTAAAGAGACATTACAAGTAATTTAGTCTTGGTAGAGTAATTCCTAATGAAAACACTAATTAACAAGGAACTGGAACAAAATCTTCCCAAACCTAACTTATTTAGGAAGTAAAGAATTTCACAGCATTTGAGGCATATAATCTTCTTTTCTAATAATAGAAAAAGAAGCTTAATATATTTGATTAGAATCTGATTTTCCAATTATTTCTTTTTTTCATAGATTTTTAAAATGAGATGTGGCATTTGAGTCCTTATTTGCAAAGGAAAATTAGAAGAGGAAAACTGATAAACTTCAAAGAAACAGCAATTACCACCATAACACGTACCTAATCCTTCAGATTCAAAGAGGTAAGTCTCATCAACTCCAATGGACCTACACCAGTGGAGGAAGTTAGCAGTATTGTCTCTAGCAAAGAATGAACCTGATGGAGCATCTTTCTTACAGGGTACTTTTCTCATTGGAAAATTCTGGAAAAGAGAAAGAAAATCATCTTATATATGCATCCAAGGAAAATGTACACTTGATGATGCTAATCATCTTAATACAGAGCTCTGGTGGAATTATCTGTAGAGTGCTGTACTGCTAAACCAAAGACTGCAATTATCTTGTGGTTCAAATCCAACAGGTTCTGTGAGGGGGGAAAAGACAGGCAATCGCTTCTCGTGCAATTTACAGCCTCAGAAACCCAACGCTATGGATGGTTCCAACTTGACAGCAATGAATTTCAATATGAAAATCTTCAATTAAAAAGAGCATGTTATCAGGAAAAAAGGTAACTTTAAACATGACTTTATTTTAAATTATTCTAGAAAATGATTCAGAGGAAAATAAGCAGTAGAATTAAAGCATTTTACACTTTGCTTTTTTGGTTTTAAAAATGATCCCAGAATCCTAGTTTTAAAGAAATTATGACATTTTAATAAACGCCAAATAGTATCTCTTTCGCACATCTCTCACATATAGTTCAATACAAATTAAAAATGTTAAAGGTTAACAGAAATGCCTTTTTACTTCTTTATATGCAGATTAAGAAATAGAAGAAACCAAGAAGTAAGGAACTAGTTGCCTGTTCTAAGAAGCTCTAGTGAAGATGTATATTGGACACTGCGCTGCAAACCAAAAGGTTAGTGGTTAGAATCCGCCAGCTGCTAAGTGGGAGAAAGATAGGCAGTCTCTTCCTGTAAAGATTCCCACCGGGGCTCTATGAATAAAAACCGACTCAACAACAGTGGGTTTGGTGTTCTTGGAGTTCAAGTTCTTTGAAAATTGATGGTATTTTTTTAGAAAATATTCTTTTTACTATGTGGCCCAAGAGAACCAAGATTATCCTTCTGAGGCTGAGGGTTTTAAATTTTTGAGTATATAAGAAGCTCTGGTGGCCTAGTAGTTAAGAAGCTGCGCTACAATCTCTAAGACACGCTGTTCAAATCCACCATCTGCTCCATAGGGAAAGGACAGGCAATCTCCTCCCAAGTGATTAACTGCCCCTGAAAACTTGCTGGAGGGTCAGCTGTGAGTTGGTTTCAACTCAACAGCACACAACAACAACTATAAGTAGAGAGTATCAGAAGAATGTCGACTGGTATTTTATTGAGTATGCAAAGGCATTTGTATGGATCATAACAAACTATGGCTAACCTCAAGAAAAATGGGAATTCCATAACATCTAATCATACTTATATGAAATATCAACCTAGACTAAGAAGCTGTTGTCTGAACAGAGCAAGGGAAAACCGCATGGTTTATAATCAGGAAAAGTGTGCACCAGGGCTGTATCCTCTCTCCCTATTCACTCTATATGCTTAGCAAATAATTCAAGAAGCTGGACTTGAAGAAGAGTGTGGCATCAAGATTGGAGGGAGGCCTTTCAACAACTTACATTATGAAGTTGACACAACCTTGTTTGTTGAAAGTGAGAAGAACCTGAAGTGCTTGCTGGAGAGGAAAAAAGGACTGTTGTTGTTATGTGCCGTCGAGTCGTTTCCGACTCATAGCGACCCTATGCACAACAGCCCTAAACCCTGCTCCATCCTGTGCCAACCGCACCGCCTCTGACACACCCATCTCGATCACCCCAGTCACCGAATCAATCCATCTCATAGAGGGTCTTCCCCTCCTGCGCTGTCCCTCCACCCTCCCAAGCATGATGTCCCTCTCCAAGGACCCGTCCCTCCTGGCAACATGTCCAAAGTATGTCAGACGAAGCCCCAGAATCCTTGCCTCCAAGGAGTAGCTTGGTTTAATCCTCTCCAAGATGAATCTGTTTGTTTTCCTGGCAGTCCATGGTACATTCAGTACCCTTCTCCAGCACCACAGTCTTTAATATGGATTACACCTCAACACTAAGAAAACAAAAATCCTCACCACTAGGCCAATAAGCAAGGTCATGACAGACAGAGAAATGATCAAAATTGTCAATGATTTAATCTTGCTTGGATCCACAGTCCGCACCCTTGGTGCCAGCAATCAAGAAATGAGGAGATGGATAGCATTAAAAAAAAAAAAAAATAAGTCTATTGTCAGAGATGTTTTCAAAGTCCTGAAGAGCAATGGTGCCAGATTAAAGATTAAGGTGCCCCTAATTCAAGTCACAGTCTTTCCAATTATCTAAAAGCTGTATAGTGAATAGTGATAACAGAAAAAGAATCAATACATTTGAATTGTGGTGTTGCAGAAGAAGAGTAAATACCCCAGGGACTGCCAAAAAGAACAAAAAGGTATGTCTAAGAGAACGTCCAACCACTTCCTTGAAGGCAAAGGTGGGGAAGCTTGTTTCAGATATGCTATTAGGAGAAGTTCATGTTTGGTCAGTAAAGAAGACCCTCAATGACTATGGACTCAAATGTGATGAGGATGATGAGGATGGCACAGGATAGGACAGAGTTTAGATCTATTGTTCATTTCGTTGAGTTATACTCAACTCGAAGTACTTAACAACAACAATCTGAGTCAGCAACTGTTGTTGTTGTTGTTATGTGCCATCGAGTCGTTTGCGACTCATAGCGACCCTATGTACAACAGCCCTAAACCCTGTTTTATTCTGTGCCAATCGCACCGCCTCTGACACACCCATCCTGATTATCCCAGTCACTGAATCAATCCACCTCATAGAGGGTCTTCCCCTCCTGCGCTGTCCCTCCACCCTCCCAAGCATGATGTCCCTCTCCAAGGACCTGTCTCTCCTTACAACATGTCCAAAATGGATGTCAGAAGAAACTCTGAAGATTGCACTGGAACGTAGAGAAGCCAAAGCACAAGGAGTCAGCAACTAGTGCATGATTTTATACAAAAATATAGTAGGTTAAAATGTATTCCACATCTACCCATTAGTTTCTTTCCTTAGAAACAACCACCATAACCAGTTTCTTTATGTCCTTCCTGTTACTTTTAGTCTTCAGAATCAGCTATCTCATGAGCTTTTTCCTTTAATTATACATATATGATCATTACAAAAACAAAACAATGCAGATAAATACAAGTATGATTTGCATCATCTGAAATCGTCTCTTCCATTTTTTGGCAATGTTATCTCTTAAGATTAGCTACACATGTAGTTTTATCTATATATGTTTCAAAGCATGCTATCCTATTTGATGTGTGTATATGTGTATATATGGACATGTGCATATTTTTCCAATGAGGTTGATATATATCACTTACTTTCTCCAAAAGATGGTACCACTTTATATTGATACCAACAGTGTATGAATATCCAGACCTCAAACCTTTGAAAGCACCTATATTTGATGAAATGGAAATCTTAACTCCTTCAAATTCATAACATCAAGATCAACAGAAGAAGTCTATCTAAATATGTATTATTTATTAAATTAATATTTATAAAAACTATCATGAAGGTAGTACGTAGAGAATATAGGGAGCTCTAGTGGCCTAGTGGCAAGAAGCTGCACCACAATCCCAGAGGCACACGGTTGGAGGCCACCTGCAGCTATGCCGGAGAAGGATAGGCAATCTCCTCCTGTGTGATTAACAGCCTCTGAAAACTATGGGTCGGTTCTGACTCTCTGGTACTCAACAACAACATAAAGAACATAGTAACAAAAACAACTGTGCTCACCGTTCTAAATATGTACCAGGCACTATCACAAATTCTCTTCTCATTTAACACTCACAACAATCCTAGAGGAAGGTACTATTACGAACAAGAGAAACTATATGAGATGCCTTCTATGCACTGTTCAGGGCATCAGAGAGACATTATCACATTTATATTCATTTACCTTTCACAAATAAAATGTTCACACTTAGATTTTACATATTTTCCAGGTTCTCTAAAAGGTTCATTATCCAATGTCTCATAGCTAGTCGAGGTGAAGTTTGTAATCTTGTAGAAATGATAAGAAGTGTACATAAACAGACTATAAAATCACTATTTACTGTTTACCATCCTTCACATGATTCAAACATTTACTTACCCCTGATTCTTCAGAGTTACAGTTTTTCACCATGTCTTGAAGAACAGCAATCAGCTGGCACAACAGTACACCATTATCAAGTTCTTCCAATAATCTTTCTGCCTTAACTTCAATACCTAAAAGCATACTTCAATGTTATGATTCTTTTATATCAGTAAATTACACAATAAGGTATGATTTTAGTTACATGGATCAGATTATTGCCAAAACACTGGACAAATACCTAATAACTTTCCAAGCATTTACTCTTAGAAATATCAGTTCAAATACAAATTAAAACATATGTTAAACAGAATGCAACTAAAACAATAATGTCTGTGATGCAGAAATTAATAAAAAATAGAGAAATCTGACGTCTACTTTAATTAATTTTTTTATAAGATCTAAGTATTTTATGAGGAGGAATGTAGTATCAGGATTGGAGGAAGACTCATCAACAACCTGTGATAGATACGCAGATGACACAAGGTTGCTTGTCAAGACTGAGGAGGACCGGAAGCATTTGCTGCAGAAGGCCAAGAACTGTAGGTTTCAATATGGACTGAAGCTCAGTATCAAGAAGACAAAGATTCTCACCACTGGGCCAACTGGCAGCACCATGATAGATGGAGAAGAGATTGAGGCTGTTAACAATTACAGCTTGCTGGGCTCCACAATCAACACTTTTTGGCACCAGCAGTAAGGAAATCAAAAGACCAACTGCATTAGAAAAATCTGCTGTCTGGAACTTCTCCAGAGTACTGAAAAGCAACAACATCAGTCTAGAGACTAAGGTGCACCTAATCCAGGCCATGGTCTTTGCAATTACTTTCTGTGCATCAGAGAGGTGGGCAATGACTAAAGGTGACAAAAGAAGAATCGATGCCTTCAAATTGTGGTGCTGGAGAAGAATCTTGAATGTACCATGGACTGCCAAGAAAACATGTGTGTTTTGGAGAAGGTGAAACCAAGTTTTTCTTTGGAGGCTAGGATTTTTAAGCTCCATCTCACATAATTGGGGCAGATGGACAGGAGAGACTAGTCCTTGGAGAAGGACATCATGCTCAGAAGGATGGAGGGACGGCACAGAAGAGGAAGACCCCAGATGAGATAGACTGATATACTAACTGGGGCATTGGGGGTTAGGTGTGTTAGAATCCATAAGAGTGGATCAGGACAGGGCAGTTTTCAGAGCTGCTGTACAATGGGTCGCTATGGGTTTCAGGCCACTTGAGGGCACATAACAATAGCAACTACCCCTCATGTGTCAAAAATACGAACCATATTAATTATAGTATGTATATTCTTTGGTGGCAAGGATTCTGAAGCTTTGTCTGACATACTTTGGACATGTTGTAAGGAGGAACCAGTCCTTGGAGAGGGACATCATGCTTGGGAGGGTGGAGGGACAGCACAAGAGAGGAAAACCTTTGATGAGGTGGATTGATTCAGTGACCAGGGTAACAGGGGTAGGTGTGTCAGAGACAAAAAGATTGTCACAGGCCAGAGAAAGGTTTAGGGCCGTTGTACATAGGATTGCTGAGTCGCAGATGACCTAACAGAACTTAACAACAACTAATATTCTACTCAAAATCTCATGCCTCATACAAGATTAAGAACAATAATCTGTAAAATATAGACCTAAGAATTAGACCTACATATTTAAAAAAAAAACCCACTTTAATATTATAACATTGAAAATAGTAATTACTCAAAGTTTACTAAGCTCTTCAGTTAAATCTCAAATTTTCCTTACTATTCAATCTCCAGGGTTCACAGTAAATCATAGTTTCTCTCCCTAAGTATAATGCAAGCTTAACAGGGACAAAGACACTAATATTCATTTACTGGAGTACCTTAGCCTCTAGAACATGAACCCCTTGATAGAAAATAAGGCTCTCAATAACTAAAGCTGACTGACTGAGAGAACACAATGTTGGGTCTCTTAAATCCTTACCTAGTAAGCCAGATAACCAGATCGACAGATCCTCTTTCATAGGCAACAGAGTGGCTTCATGCCTCACAGCTATCCACTCATCATACTGACAAACATCAGCCAAACCAGGGCCGTGTCGGGGAGTCAGCGGACACCGCGGACTTAAGGGTAGATCTTCTCCAAACCACACCTGGAGAGAACACCGACCAACTTTGACTGAAAATCATCATTGTCTAGATCAAATATTAATGACAGTTTATAACACATACATAATAGAGACTTCTATCAAACTACAGAAATGCACAGATTGTATATAAAGATATTTGTAAGTAATATCTAATATTATATAATAAATATAAAACTATAGCAAACCCACAGAAAAGACACACATGATTTTTATTCTTCGAGACATGGTGAAAACATGCATAAAAATCATATTCACATATAAAATGACAGCAGCAAACAAAAAGCAAACACATAATCTAGAAACTTGAGACATTTTCAGTATTTGATACTGTGGTCACTGCAATCCTCAATTAATGAATAGATTCAACTATCAAGCTAAGGAAGTAAGGTAAGCAAACACTAATGTTTCCTTCAACTGTTAATAAATTTTAAAAGTTACTTAACCCGAGTGTTAGCATCTTAACTGTAAAATATACTACTGATATAAATAATATTTTAAAATATAAAGATGGAAAAGATATATCTTCATATTACTTAGCATAAGTCTAGCAGATAGCTGAGACACAATGAGTATGTTAAATGAATGAATTGTCCTGTGTAAAGCACAGGAGTGTTAAAATGGAAAAAATTTCTACTGTGGCTTAAAATAAGGGGTCATGGATTGTTCATTTAGTAGAGCTCAAAGGAGTCAGAGCAGGTGCACACATTTGCCAAGGAAAGGCATGCGTGAAGTAGAAGGGGACTTTGAAAAGTCACGTGTGAAAATGGAAAGGCTACAAAATAAGAGCAACAAGAATCATTCTACTTTCTTTTCACGGTCGGGAAAAAGAATACATCATGGCTTTTCCTATCACTGAAATCAGAGGCTTTATGATAACTTGGGTCAGTCAGTAGAGTATTAGTATCGTTAATAATTAGATGTTAGTAACAGAAACTATGTGCATAAAGATTGTTCTCAAATACAGAAGAGCTGCTATGAGCTCGAATCGGGTCAATAGTGAATTTGGTGTTCATCTGGATAAGGAATCAGGAAAATATAATTGACAAGAAACAGATGACATTTCTAGGATTTGGATAAAAGAGAACAAAAAAGAAAGGACAATCAGATAAAAACAGATTTGAAGGAGTTTCAAATCTACTGAATACGAATGAGACTGTAAGAGGACTCAACTTCATGAAAGACTGCGGTAAATCCCCTAGTCCCACAAGAAAAACCGTTTAATGGGGCTCTTTGTTGCTAGAGAAGAAAGACATGGGTTGTGCGCACGAGGAGCACAGGCTGGATCACATTCAAGGTGTTCTCAGTCATTTGATAAGTTAGTTCTCCAGTCTGTCATATACTGTTTTCATGAGTGAAACATGTGGTTGTATGCCATCAAGCTGGAATTAACTCCTGGGGACACTATACAACAGGGCCGAACTGTGTCTCAGGGTTTCTGGTTTCTTAGGCTATAATCTTGAAAAGAAGAGAGGAATGGAGGGAGAAAAAAAGGGCATAAAAAGGCTTCCATGACCTAAGTACAATCTCCATTATATCTGGGTAATTTTATTGTACTGATGGCACCACAAATCTTCCAAAGCACCCATTAAGCACCATACATTCTATTAGGCACTTTTTTGCACATGCTCTGCTCCTCTGATGCAAGGAAGGTAAAACTTCTCGCCTCACATAATTTGAGCATGTTGTTAGTAAGGACCAGTCCTTGGAAAAAACATCATGCTTGTAAAGGTGGAGGGTCAGCATAAGAGAGGAAGACCCTCAAACAGACAGAGTAACATAGTGACTGTTATAATGGGCCAAGTATTTCAGCAATGATGAGGATGGCACAAGACAGGGCACGGTGCAGACCCATTGTTCAAAGTGTCACTATGAGTTACAGTCAACTCAACAGCTACCAACAACAACAACAATGCTAAATAAGCATTGCCGTCCTCAACTTGAGAAGCTCTGGTGGCAAAATGTGTTGTACATTGTGCTGCTAACTCAGAGGTCACCAGTTTGAATTCACCAACTGCCCTGAGCTGAAAGAGGTCTCCTCTCATAAAAATGTACAGCCTTGAAAACTCAGTGGAGGGTCACCATGAGTGCAAACTGACCTGACGGCAGGGGATTTTGGTTTTCCAGAATCCCCAGCATAAGGAAAGGAAGTACAAGTTTAGAGAAGTAAAGAACTTTGCTAGTTAGTCTCATAGCCAGAGTGGCAGACTAGAATCAGACCTGAAATCTGGTTGACTCTAAGTTTGTCATTTTCAACAGCAAATTTTATCATCAGTTGCTTGCATATTTCTAGGTGGACATTCAATGTAATTTTTAAGTCAGTTTGTGTGTGTGTGTGTGTGTACACACACTGTCAAATCAGACCTGACTAGTACAGGAAGAGATTGTGTCTCGTTCTCCAGAAGAGCATCTGGTGGATTCGAACCACTCATCCCTGGGATTGCAGTACAGCTGCTTGCCACTAGGCCACCAGAGCTCACCTAAGTCAATTTTTAAGTTCATTCATATAGACACACACTGTTGTTAGGTGCCATCAAGCCAAATACGACACATAGAGACCCTATGAACAACAGATGTGCAACCTGCCCTATCCTGTGCCATCCTCATCATCTCTGACACACTGGAGTCCACTGCTGCAGTCATCTAGTCAACTAATCTTGTTGAAGGTCTCTCTCTCTTTTGCTGACTCTCCTTTCTTTCTAGCATATGCACACACATACACCCTCAAAAGAAGCATTAAAAGGATTTAAGAATACAGCAAACATCCATTCTGGAAATAATTAAAAGATAAAAAATTATTTTTTTTCATCTTGGTAATCCTATTCTCCTTTCTCACCAGAAAACAGGCAAATAAATTATGAAAAAAAAAAATCTCTTTACAATTTTAATTTACAATACCTGAACATGTGCAGGGTAAATGTACAGAGTTATCAAAAATAAAAACATATCTGCTTTTATTGCTAATTGTTGTAACAGTCAATATATACTAAATTTCAATGGGGGAAACTACACAATTTTTCAATTCTCTTTCCAGTGTGGTATAAACAAGATGAATCTTTCATCTCTAAATTCTTTTTTTTAATTCTACAAATTCAGTACAAATAGAAGGTTAGAATTAAAATCTTTCTCAGAAGAAACAAAAAAGTCAAAATATGCTAATCCTGTTATTAAAATTTGGTAAAGCCAGTGAAATCTGAAAATACTTTGTCATGATATTGCTACTTTTAAATTATTATAAATTCTATTAATATAACCATTTAAAGGCATACTTATCCAAGAAAAATACTTACTTGAATTGCAGGCTGCATGGTCATCTATATTGAAATGATGTTGCTTTTCTGAAAATAGAACAAATCTTAATATGCAGACAATGGCAGCTTTTGCCCAACCCCAAATTACAAGATTTAGGAATCTAATTTACTGCTCTATTTGGCTGGAAAACCTAAAACTTCCTCTCTACAGAGTAAGAAGAGAAATCATATCTTGCTTCTTACTTTATAAAAGTATTCCTCATATGAAAGAGGAACACTTTGAACACACTTTAAACAAGCAGTTAGTGGCATTTGTATCAAAGTAACTCTAGAAGGATTTGGCTTTGTAAAATAAACTATAAAACATAGCTTGCATGTAATTACCTCAGAATTTTATATTCCTCCATAAGCATAATGTAAATGTACTTTATAAATACAAGCATTTCAATAACTGATATTAAATATCTCTCATCTAATTTTATGTAGAACTCATATAAGGTATTCCGCACTGCATAAGAATTCACAGCTAACCACAGCTTCTTCAGCAAGAATACAAGAAAAAACATAAGCATCGATTTTAACTGTAAAACAGAATTACTCAATGCTTTTCTGTAATAATTTCTTCGTTATTCTCTCAATAAGGTGCTGATGACAAAAAAAAAGCAATAGCAATTTTAACTTCAAAAATCTATTTTAAAGTCTGTGAGCGGGAAAATATAAATTTAATTAAGTTAGCTTAATGAAATGGCTTGATATATTTTTAAGGATTAGTAAAAGTAATGAATTTAATAATGTTCAGAATAATAGAGACTATGTAACCTAGGACTTTTGATTGTTAACAAGCAGCAAAATAATCTAGTCTACTTCTTGTTTAACTTACTACTAAAATAGCCTAAGGGAAAAAAAATACATAAAAAGTTCAGTAATGTCACAATGCTTTAAGTCTCCAGGAAAAAGTTGTTTTCCCTCCACATTATACCAGACATACCTCACGCCCAGTGCAGGCTACACACACCACTTTCCTTTCAGGAATATTTCCTCAGGTTCCAAAGCTGAGCCTGAGCTAAGCCTCACTGAGTCCAATGTTATATCACAGTTTCTTTGCGAGAAGGCAAAGCACAACAGAATGTCCTTTTGGATGTCATTTTTCCTGCTCTCCACCACAGCAAAAGGCCACAGCACAATTGAGCATTACTAATGAGCTTGTTATGCTTCCCACGAGCTAATTCAGTGGGGAATACATTTTCCTTTAGCATAAATAATCTTTTGTCCCCAACAAAGATCCACAGTAAGACACTTCCGAGACCATTTTTGAAAAAATGGCAGCAAAGAAGCTGTTCCCATTAAAATACGGGGTCCCACATAATCAGACAAGAGCTTTAACAGTTGGAACTGCCAAGCCAAAACAAAAGAAGGCCTAAATTATAAGGCGTGCGCAAATCAAGAACAGTGACACATTCACAAAGAAGCTATCACAAGAATGTTCAGTAGTTGCACTTTCCATGGAAAATTCAATAAAACTACTTTCATGAAAGAAATGAAAAAAATGTGCACACAACCTTGGGTCACTTGAGCTTCTGCAAGTCTTTAACAGAAACTTTTTTTTTAAACTATACTTTTTAAAAAAATTTTTTTAAATTAATACTGGTTTCCTTACAAAGTTCATAAAGTTCATATACCTTGTTTTTCAAACCAGATCTCTCCCCTTTCCTTTACTGGTATTGGAAATAACTAATTTAACATGACAAAAATATAACTATCTGCATTACCTCTATTTTTTTAAATTAATTTTAATGAAAGTTTACAGAGACTTGGGATTTCCAGTCATTCATTGTTGCACTTTTCTCCCTGCCCAATCCCTCCCGCACAAATCACTCTTCTCCTTGAAAAGAAAAACCTCCCTCTTATGTGACTGTGTTCAAATTATATTCAAGCACTCCTGGGGCTCCTTCATAAAACAAGGAATTTACAAAAGATCATAAATTAAGAATACTACACTTCATTTTTAAAATGGGTGGAAATGTTAGAGAAATGGACAATTCATCCACCTAAAATCTGACGAAGTTTGGATATAACTTTTATTTAAAACACTGCTAGTCATGACACCATTTAAGATTATTTATAAGGTAAAGCTCTTCATACCAATTTGACCCTAGATCTTGATGGAGAAAAGTCAATTTACTGAAATCATCTTCTTGGCCTAAGTTACAGCACTGGAAACTGAGCGCTTTCCTACGCTTTATCCATGTGTAAGAGATGACAGGGAAAGTTCTAGGTGACACAGCTAAATTCTTGCACAAGTCTAGAGTCAAGCAAGGAAAACTGCTTTGTTGTTGTTGTTGTTATG